GCTGGGGGTTGGGGCGGGGAAGAAGACAAGAGCGGGAGGGGTTATTTTTTCTTTCTTTTTTTATTTGTTAATTGGTGTAAAAAGGAAGAAAAAAAAGTTAAAAATTAGACACGTGGATTCTTTATAAAACTTTTGAAATGAAACTTTTAACATTTACGTGCATGTTTGATGTGAAGAACACGCGAGCTAAAGTGGTGTGGGTGTGTTGTTGACACACTTTTGAAAGGTTTGAGTGTGTTATATTATCCCTGTGATGAACAGGTGTGTAAGAGGAATTTGAGTACAAGGTCGATGGGTAAACTATGTATTTTGCCAATAATAAATGGTAGGCTCTTTTATAAAATATAAAAGTTTTGGGGCAATTTTTAAAAAATGTAATAGTGATATTTTGGCCCAAATTTTGGGATTTGGCATTTTGCCAAAATATAGCCAAAATCTATGGTCAAACATGTGTTTTCCAAATAAAACCCAAATTTATTTAGGCAAAATCTATGGCCAAACGGGTTCAAAGACTATATTTCTTAAAAACTCAGTAGCTAGTCAATCAGCTTGATTATATTACGAGAAAGCATTTCTCAAAAACTCACAAGCTAGTCAATTTGCTTGATTACAAGAAAGCGTAAGATCTGTGTAATACACTATCCTTCTCAGACCCCAAGAATTACACTAAGCTTTTTGTTGTTGTTGTAGTACAAGAAAGCTTAGACTTTTATAATTTAGAAATCTTGGGCACCCCTAAAGGGGAAAATATATACACTCTAGTAATCAAAGTTGCCATTGTGAAATGATCCTAGCAAATGACACATTCATTTTCCATATGAACCTTTAAAAACATTTTTCCTCAGCTGCAACTTCTTTGATCCAAACATTTGTCTGTCAGCAAATCATGCCCTTCCATTGTCCTAGCCTTTTCAATCCCTTCACACCCCTGAAATCAATTACAGAAGAAAGAAAAACACAATCAGCATCATTATGATAAAGGGTCAAAGATAAGCATATAGGGAGTTGGGGTTGGGGGGGGGGGGGGGCAAGTTAGCAAGCAGTATGAGGTTCTGCTAAAGTGCGCCATAAAGAAATTTAGGACAAGATTTTAACCTCTTATCTTCTGATTTCCATTGGGCACCGAGCCTCTCATCTAGCCTTTGTTTGGCTTCTCTAGCAACTTCTCCTAGTTTCTCATCTTGGTTTTCTTGGCTTGTTGCACTTCTTTCCTATTCAGTCAAATAACACAAGAATTTGTATTATCATGCCATTACAAACACAAGATCTTTATTTGGGAAGGTACATAGAGGCGAATTCAAGATTTAGATGTGATGGATTCAAACAAGTGTGATCTTATTATAAGTATACACTTTAAGTATTTTTAGCTTATGTACATATAGTTCAAACAGAAAAAAATGGATTCAACTACAAGATTCATCGTAGATTCGACTTTGTATGTACAACCGATCTAGACAAAAGAGGCACAAAATAGGAGAAGGAATTTGACCTATATATATATATATAACAAAATACAATTTTTCTTCTTCGGCGAAAGGCGTTCAACTGACCACCTTCGATCACAATAGCTATGACTAAGGGATAGGAAAGGGATTAGTACCTTAGAAAAGTTTGAGCTAAGAATATGTTCATGGCTACTTGTGTAGAGACAAAGAAAAGATTTCCTTGTAGATGAAAAACCAGATGTATTAGATGATGAATCTAACAAGCCACTGTTTTTATGAAACTTTCTTCTTCTAGCACATTCAACACCAGCAAGCATACCTGCCATTTTTTAACTCTAAAACTCAAGAAGGAAATAAGAAAGAAGAAAAATTAATAGACCTAACTCTTTTCTATGATGTGTTGTTTTCTTTCTCTTTCATTTGGCAAGTGTAATAAAGTTGAATAAATAGAACTATGAAAGGAAGGTAGTAGGAAGGATGTAGGAAACTTCATAGGAGTTTTAGTTCAATTTATTTATTGCTTCTTCTTTTAAAATTTTGGTTTAATCATAGAGGTAGTACGCAATTTTTTTTTAAAATAATACCTTTTTTCATCATTAGTCTTCTTGTTTGATTTTAAATACTATTTTTTGCATGTCTAATCTTCGTGAATATGGAAGAAAATACCAATATAATTGAAGAGTGTCGATTTTTCATAAGTTTAGGAAAACAAATATAAATAAAAGAAAAGACGTGGGGAATGAGTTCACTGGAAAGAGAATTTGGGCCAGATCTGCTGCAGTGAACTTTTGGGCTGCTTAAATGGTGAGAGAGAAATCTGAGTAAAAATTACATGGGGCGCCCTATTTGGTCGCCCCCATTTAATTTATACCAATTTTTTAAAAAAGTTTTAACTTGTACCCACTTTTTAAATAACTTCAGCCCCCTTTCTCCTCCTCCTTCTCCTCCTTCGTTTTCTTCTTCTTCCTCTTCTTCTTCTTTCTTCTGCTGCTGTTGGTGCTGTTATGAAACTTCAGTTCATGGGATGATTGCCATAAGTATATCTATTAGATTATTTAAAAATAAATTATAAATAATTATGTAAGTTAGTAGACAATAATTTGTGAATATTTTCACATATTCTGTTCTTTTCACGTTTATTGTTTCCAAAATTTATGATTTAGACATTGTTGGCAATCTGATTATTTTATAGTAGTAATACACAATGAAAGAATAAGGTGATTATTTATCTAGTATGTTAGAAAGCTTTTTCAAAAACTTCAGCTTATATAGTGCTGAAATTTTTACAAACTTCAGCATCTTCTGCTGAAATTTTTGAAAAAGCTTTATGACAAAACTAATGAATCCAGGACAAAAAAAACTTCAGCTTATATAGTGTTGAAGTTTTTACAAATAAACTAAATAACTTCAGCATCTTCTGCTGAAGTTTTTGAAAAAGTTTATGACAAAACTAATGAATTCAGGACAAAAAAAACTTCAGCTATTTTAGTGGCGATGTTTTTACAAATGAACTAAATAACTTCAGCATCTTATCCAGGACAAAAAACTTCAGCGCCGTCTACTAGAATGCTGAAGTTTTGCGTGATTGCCTTTGCTACTCAGCCCGTATGCTAAAGTTACGCGAAAAAGTGGGTACGCGTGCAAATTTTTTTTTGCAAAGCGGGCACAAGTTAAAACGCGACCCAAAAAACGGGTATAGATGCAAATAAATTAGCATGGCATGATCCTTAGAGGGGCGTGTCTTGGCAGAATGTTCCCATTTTTTACGATCGTAGCAAAATATCTTACTTTGTAACTTAAACATCAAAGTTTTTCAATCTTGAAATTCTTTTTGGTGGTGGAAAATAAAAGTTAATGATAGGTTATTTTTAAAATCGTTTGAATGTTGATAATTTGTGGGTGACTTTTAGTTCTAATACAGATTTTGGCGATTTACCGTAAAAATCTCAAAACTCTATTGTTTGAGCACAGAAAGTGTTGAAGAAAATAAAGTAGGTCTTTTTTATTTGGTGTTATTCGACTAAATTGGTGATTGGGGATTGTTTATATTGGTACTTGGAATTGTTTCAAATTTGAGATTATTTGGAACAGATTTGGGATGGTTTGATTGAAATTGAACTAGCAAATTTGAAGAACACTTTGTTAAAATAACCCAGAAAAAATGTGTCAATTCGGTAGACTTCGATGAACAATTTAATAGATGGGTAGAGAAAATAAAGCACCAACTCTACCAACCTGGTGAAGAAATATATGAGGAGAAGAAGTATGACGATCCGGTACTCTTTAATGAACAACTTAACAGATATTTAGAGTGATAATAGCATCAACTCTACCAATTCAGTAGAGAAATCATAAAGAGCAAAAGTGTGACAATCCGATAGACTCCAATAAAAAATTTGATCTGGAAGAGAAACTCCTGAAGAGTTGTGCGCGATTCCGAGGTATTTTTTAAAGGGATTTTTTCCTTCCTATACCATATATGAAACTTTATTACCAAATATGTGCATATTTTCTAATTTACCCGTCCTGTCCACATTTTTTCTACAATTTTTATACCTTTTCGATTGGGTATGGCTTCAACTATTCCCGCAGCCCGTCAATTAGTTAACCATCGACATATTTTAGTTAATGGTCGTATAGTAGATATACCGAGTTATCGCTATAAACCCCGAGATATTATTACGGCAAAGGATGAACAAAAATCCAGAGCTCTGATTCAAATTTCTCTCGATTCATCCCCTCATGAGGAATTACCAAACCATTTGACCCTTCACCCGTTCCAATATAAAGGATTAGTCAATCAAATAATAGATAGTAAATGGGTCGGTTTGAAAATAAATGAATTGCTAGTCGTAGAATATTATTCTCGTCAGACTTAAACCTCAGACTGAAACCGAGGGTTCGGAAAATTTTCTTCCCTTTAGGCGAAGTAAATTAACCTAAGGTTAAGTAAGATAAATCCGAGTTTGATCTGGATTTCCCCCATTTTTGTATCATAGACCAAGGATCTATTTTCATTCCTTGTCTACTCTTTTCTTTCCAGTATTTTGATTATGATTATTTTTGAGTATTCTATTTTACGCGTCACAGCAATTAGGAATTGAGAATCTATATCTTTAGATCAAAGAAGGGTCTAGCTGTTGGAATAATGGTATCCATTGCTATTTGAGCCCTTGTTGTTAGTAAAATTGGTGAATTAAGCGAAGGTACGGAAAGAGAGGGATTCGAACCCTCGGTAAACAAAAGCCTACATAGCAGTTCCAATGCTACGCCTTCAACCACTCGGCCATCTCTCCTACATAACGATTATGACCCAAAAACCGAGTGAATAGCGAGTCAGTCATAATCCATATTCCATTATTGGATAGGTACGACCAATCCATTTTAACTGAAAATTTTTCATCAAAGTCAAAGCAAAGAACGATTTTTCTTTCCTTCGAGGCTCCGGGATAAAGATACAATTTTGCGTAAAAATTGTGAAAAAAAATTCGATTCATGTTTGCAAAAACAACGTTCCCTTCTTTTTCTGATATTTTTATAACGGATTAATTCAATGAATTAGAACGAATCACCTGATTGATGGTCTATATCTTTTAGACTATAGTTAATGGATACTCTTAAATCATAATTCTAATTATATAGACTATGATTCCATACCAGAAAAATTTTCAAATTCCTTTTCGGTTTTGGAGTTCTCAACAACAAACACCTACCCCTCTATTAGAATAGACATTCATAAAAAAATTTTAGATTTGATTGTATAGTGTATACCCGTTATGTACACAAAATTGGCAGTTATTCTATTTTCATCATAGAATGATTATTCGGTCTTTTTTCTTCTTTGTAATTTGTATCATGATTCAATCAAAATTTCTCGAGTTCTTCGAATTTGTAACTTCACCGAAATCGGAATAGTTCCTATACTACTACATTAGTATGAAATCGAATCGCCTTGAAATATTTCTTATTTCTTATCGATTCCTGTCAAAAAGGAACAATTGGAATAGAGGATTCATATCTTTTGTTTTTTTCTTTAAAAAAAATAAGTTTTTATGTTATTTCGTACTATACAATTCTTTTCTTTGTGGGATCTTTTTCCCATGAGAGGTAATGAGAAGAATTCTAGAATGGATTGCTACCTATGCCTAGATCACGGATAAATGGAAATTTTATTGATAAGACCTTTTCAATTGTAGCCAATATCTTATTACGAGTAATTCCGACAACTTCAGGAGAAAAAGAGGCATTTACCTATTACAGAGATGGTGCGATTTGATTCTTTTTTTTTTTATTTCATATTTATTCATTTCTCTCAGTCTTACGAGGAGAAAAACACGTGATTCGAGAAAATTTTTGAAAAAAAAATCTACGCTTTTTGAAGGTGAAGTTTGGAAATAGAACAATTCCTTCTGTCGTGTATCCTCGATTAATGCAACCCCAGATGCTATGTTTCGATTCTCGATTCTAGTATTAAGCGAAAGGTTACGCCTAGAGGTTCTGTATTACGGGTCAATCCTACTCTACTAGCGCTAATAGGCAGCATAGGGGAAGAAGCACTACACCTAGGAATCAACAACACGAAAACTTTGTTCTAAGTCAGCCCTTCCCTTAGCGGGCTTGGGACTAAAAGAATGGTTGGGACAACAAACATCCATCTCGTTCGTCCTTTGGANTTATTCTGTAAAATAAAATTCAATAAAAAATAAAATAAATAGAAATAAGAATTAATTCGAAATACTAAATAAGAAATAAGAATAAGGAGTCTTTATGTCGCGTTACCGAGGACCTCGTTTCAAAAAAATACGCCGCCTGGGGGCTTTACCAGGACTAACTAATAAAAAGCCTAGGACCGGAAGTGATCTTAGAAACCAATCGCGTTCCGGGAAAAAATCTCAATATCGTATTCGTCTAGAAGAAAAACAAAAATTGCGTTTTCATTATGGTCTTACAGAACGACAATTACTTAAATACGTTCGTATCGCCAGAAAAGCCAAGGGGTCAACAGGTCAAGTTTTACTACAATTACTTGAAATGCGTTTGGATAACATCCTTTTTCGATTGGGTATGGCTTCAACTATTCCCGCAGCCCGTCAATTAGTTAACCATCGACATATTTTAGTTAATGGTCGTATAGTAGATATACCGAGTTATCGCTATAAACCCCGAGATATTATTACGGCAAAGGATGAACAAAAATCCAGAGCTCTGATTCAAATTTCTCTCGATTCATCCCCTCATGAGGAATTACCAAACCATTTGACCCTTCACCCGTTCCAATATAAAGGATTAGTCAATCAAATAATAGATAGTAAATGGGTCGGTTTGAAAATAAATGAATTGCTAGTCGCAGAATATTATTCTCGTCAGACTTAAACCTCAGACTGAAACCGAGGGTTTGGAAAATTTTCTTCCCTTTAGGCGAAGTAAATTAATCTAAG